GAGAGAGAGAGAGAGAGAGAGAGAGAGAGAGAGAGAGAGTTCTTCTTCTTCCTCTTCTCAGTCCACCACCTCCCCCTCACCCTCTTGCTAACTGACTTCACTGCATCAGCAGACTACGAGAGAGAGGGATTGGTGACATTTGGATCCAGACTCGACATTGGGCTTTAGACATTTGACGAGGGATTATCTGGGACTTGTACCGAAGACTTGGGGTTGTCGACATTCCCATCTCCCCCATCCTCTTCTTCGTCTGATCCCCTCCTCTTCGTCTGTGTATGGTCTGGACCTGGCGCATTCTTCATGTGTGTAGCGCCAGGCCCCCCTTCACACCCTGTGATGAGGATGATGTATGTTTGGTCTGCATTGCGACATTGAGTGGGCTAGTCATTTGTATTCTAGCATTCCGCTGCACTGTCTTGTACTACATGAGAAAGGTCAGTCCAGGTCAGGTCAGGGCTTATATCTAAGTCTTCCACTGCGCTACAAGGTGCCATTTTGTATGTATCAGGATGTACATTGCTTGTTGAGATTCCACTGACACCGCATTGTCCATTCAGTCCTTTTTATCACATTGCGGATACTTGGCTATACATACATTGCCCAACTGGGCATGTAACATACTCGGTCGTCAGCAATGGGAGGTTTCATAGGTCCCCCAAGGGACCCTGCCAGGAGGCATCATTACACCCTGTCACCTGCCACCGAAGGAGACTGCCGTAGGCCTGCTAGGAATAATAAAACACAATTTCACAACTGCAAGAAAGAAAAACGAAGAAAAGGGTGAAGCTTAGGGGAATTTGCATATATATTTTCAAAGCGTCGGTCTGACTCAGTCATTTGTGTGCGAATAAATGATGGGTTTTTACGTGTGTAGAAGAACAAGAGAAGGTTTTGCTAATTAAAAAACAGATTCCCCTGAGAAACAATGACAAGTCGATAAAGTGAAAACCAAAAAAGTAAAACCTTGATGACGAAGTGCAAGGCGTGGGTGGTTCGGAAGACAACCAATATAGGGATATGTTGGCAGGAAAAGAAGGCAATCTTCCATTCTTATTGATAAATAAGTTCAACATCAGCCAAGCAGTTACAAACAAAAACAAGTTCCTGTGTGGCATACTCTTCCTGCTACACAATCTTGCCCCACCTGTCGTGTACGTAAGCTGCATGTGGCCCCCAAATCTGGGTTCCTTGGGACATGGGCCCATCGTGCAAGAGATTCGGCTGAACAAACTGGACAGAGTCTTGGCCCTCCTGTTGTGTAGACGAGCAGCTACGAGCTGATCCTGGCTTCTTGAGATTTGTCTACGCGGCGTCTTTTAAGATAATAATAGCCATAGGTAGTCGACAGGCGAGCTACCACAGCACAATATTGGCAACAAAGAAGAAGCAGCAAGAGAAGAGAAGCAGATAGGAAGAGAGGACTAAAGAAGTCAAGGATTTTGAGAGACCTTTATGTGACAATGACGTCACCATGCGTAGAGCCTCCCTTCCCACACATGCCCTTTTGGAGGAGATAGCGCCTCCCTCCCATCTGAGTGCGTTTGAAAAAGTACCTGGGGGCAAAAATGATGGAGGGATACAAACATCAGTGAAGTAATCAAGATGAAGTTGAACAAATGAGCTGCGAAAGGGGAAGAGAAAAAAAACATGGTTACGCTCCGGACATCCGGATCCCAGTCCGCATCTGGACGTCCGGTCTGGTAAGTCCGGGAGGGGATTTTTTTTTTTTTTTTTTTTCCTTTTCTTCGAGGCCGACCCCCAAAAGAAATGTTTTGGCCTTTTTGAACTATTTTCTGGCCCTTTCAGTTTGCCAAAGAGGGCTGGGCTGAGACTGATTCTGCTTTTGTGTGCGTGTGTGTGTTATAGATTTTAACCACAACAGCAGCCCCTGTTCCGTCCGGATGAGTAGATCCAAAATCGAAGTAACTTTACCTCTATTGCAGACAATGAATCACACCTGAGATGAGCCAATCCAGCAATGGAACATTTTTACCTCTATAGCAAAGAACATGGAGCACAATAGATGCATTATATCCCTTTCTTGAATATCTTTACGTCAGTATTCTTTGGGATACCCCTTTCTATTCGTTCTTGCAGCTCCCCTTGTACTATGCCTCTCACGTACAAGGCTGGCCATGTTGATTGTGGTTGAACGCCAGCTGTCCACACCCCCTGTGTGCCTTAAACCACTAGTACCTTTGCCACGTGGGAAAATAGCGGGCCTCGGGTGGGCCTCCGACCTTTTCGGATGACCGAAACGAAACGACGGCCGCCGATCAGATTTATCAATGGCAGCCGTCGTCGGGCCCGGCCTCCGAATTTTCAGGAGTTTTGCCAGTTTTCCCTAATTTCCCAACACTGGGCGAGGTACTAGTGGTTTAACGGCACACTTGCACGTTATGAAAGGAGGCAGAGTAAAGGGGGAGGTATACTCCTGTTCATTTTTCTTCAGGTGTTCAGCTTATATTTTGTCTGTTTTCTTAATGATGCTCATTCCTATGTATTTACTAGTAATACACAAGGGGAGGGAGGAATGAAGGGGAAGAAATGAAAGGGGAAGGAGGTGTTTTATAGGAGGCGAGGGTGGGGGAGGAAGAAGGGGCAGAGGAGGGAGGTGGGGTGGCAAAAGGACAGAACAGAGGAGTAACGGACTTCACAGGGTTCTTAATACTCACCGCTGGAGTGGCATTGCACTGATGTATGGCACAGTTGGCACACCAACATGTCATGTCCAATTTTTAGACAGGGCCTATACAATTGCGGTCGGCGTGCATCGGTGTTCCTAGCATGTAGGAGCCACGTGACGTCTGTCTACGCTGTGCCATTCGGTGCTTCCGCAGTCATACTCTAGAACGGCTTCCACAGTGCTTCCACAGTCATACTCTAGAACGGCTTCAGAGGCTAGTCAGTGTATGGGTTGCGGGAGATTTGAAGTTGAGGAGCAAACATTGCCTATCGTAAGTGGCCACCTCTACAGACCGGACAGGACCGGTTCGGAAGTGGACTGTGGAAGCACCGCATCCAATTCTTGCTGTTACAATTGCTGCACCGAATGGCACGGCGCAGACAGACGTCACGTGACTCCTACATGCTAGGAAGACAGACGCAGTGGCTCCTACACGCTAGGAACACAGACGCACACCGACCACAATTGTATAGGCCTTGTCGTTCCACCCCCTTTCTAAAAATTGGACATGACATGTTGGGGTGCCGTACATGAGTGCAATGTTGACTGTCATCAAACGTGTGAAAACAGAAACTCGCATGGACTATGCCCTCATACTCCTCACAACACAAAGCATGCGAGCCACATGCTAGCCGAATCTCAGGTGGATCATCACAGAGCGGCATTGAGCAAGTATCTTGGGTTTCCTCGGTCGTTATTCCCTCACCATGAGCAGACAACAATGGGGACAGTTCCAAAGCAAGGATGTTTAGCTGTTGCAAGATTTGGTCTGCAACAGCTCGCCCTAGCGGTGATAACCTTTCAGCACAGCGCTGTGTTGGTGGTTCATACAGCAGTCTATTTTCTTCTTCAGGCTGCTGCATCTGTCGTTCGTCTGGCAAGGATGAAGGACATCCGACTACAGTTGCAGCAGGCGTATGACGAAATTTTGGAGGAACAGAAACAAACCATGAGCTGTCTGTCGTGGAGCCTGACCAAAGTAATGACAGTGGCCAAATACCTGCACCACTTAAAGAACCAACAAATGGGTCAAGGGAGTCCATCTGTGTGAAAACAGGATACCCCAAAGGAAAAAAAAAGAAAAAAAAAAAGGATACCCCAGAATTCTATATACATCGCGACAGGACTATACAAAACTCAGACTCATCAGACTTCACTGCACATGGTGAGTTTATAGATGTGTGATGTGACCAAGAACACCTTTCCATGGGCTGAGCCTTCACCATGTGATGTTGGAAATCGTGCGGAGAAGGCAATAGCGCCATGAAATTTAAAGCTCTTGTTTTCTTTCTGAGTATTTACTATTTACTATTTATTGACTTGATATTAACTTGAGCTCTCCACAGGCCTCATCTGCGTGTGTCTGCATGTCCATGTTCATCGTGGCAGATGATCGCCAATCACTCAGAGACATTACTGTGCTTGTCTCAGCCTTGTCTTACATTTCTTCTGTTCCTTTTTCCTTCTTATCTCCGCCTTTGAAACGGTATTCACCAGTTCGCGGTAGCGAATGCAGATCCCAGGGCTCGATCCCTAGATCCCCGTCTTACCTGTGTACAGTATCAGTGTCAACCCGTAGACTTGAACCTGCGACCTGTAGGAACGCCAGTGGTAGGCAATTTGTCGTAGGTCACCGGGTAGGAGGGAATCGAACTGTAGACCTATAGATTAGGAGTCTAGACAGTTCGGAAGTGGTAGCTGTAGGCTGCTTGAGGAGTCAAGGTCGTAGCTGCTACTTACCTGAAAGGGCAAAGTCGTAGCTGCTACAGTACTGAAGGGCCAACATAGAGGTTTCTAGAACTGGCCTTTCGGAGTTGGCCTGTGTTCAGCAGAGGCAAGTGGTCAAGTGGTGGTAGTCCACCTAGCCCAGTCAGCAGTCCCAGGTAGCCCAGTCCGGTCCAGTCAAGCAAGTACCGTCTGGGACTGTGCACATCATGGGCCAAGGGGTAGAGGGCAGACCAACGCAGCGCAGAAGTATAAATCAAGAGGCTGTGTCCAGCCATTCATTCATTCCTGCGGATGCCATGCGGAAGCGCTGCCTCAGCAGCTTGTGCGAGGCGGTCTGCAGTGTGCCCGAAGACGAAGTGGACAGAGAAGTGTAGTGTAGCGATAGGATAGTGGCAGCTAGCGCTGCCATAGCCATAGCCTAGTGTGTGTGTGTTGTGTATGAACATTGAGTGTTGCGTGTGGGACATCCAGGGTGATCTCGAGTGTGAACAGTGAGTTGTATGGGCGCACAGTCGCCATAGCCAGTTGGAAGACAACTCATATCTGGTTACGATATCTTTGAGTACTGTGTGGGAGCATGTCGCCAGTTCGCTGTATCGCTGTTTGCAAGCATGATGAAGTGTGAATAAGTCGAGTATGATTGCACTGGTATCGGAGCTGGTACCCGCTGTTCCACGCGCCGTCGTGTGCAGGCGTCATAGCTGAGGTGGCCGCTGGAGGAGAAAGTCCACCATAGCGGACCTTCGGTGGAAGAAGCCGCTGTGCACCTGCATCAAGAAGAA